GGAGAACCCGGAGAGAACCCACGCTGCACGGGGAGAACATGGAGACTCCACGCAGAAAGATGCCAGGACGCCTAACCGGGAAGCGAACTGACAATCTTCTAGCTGCAAGGAGACGGTGCTAACCACTGAGCCACCTTGCAGCCCTTGTTCATAACAGTTGATAAATTAAAAGTGCCAGAACTGCTCAGAGATGATCAATAACTGATAATTTGGAATCACTAATTTTTAAAATGTGGCAAAATAAAAAATACATTTGTTAATAAAGTTAATCAAAACAATAGGTTTCAATACACTTTACATTTATTACATTTACAATAAATAAAAAAATACACAAATACAGAATAATTACAAAACACATTCAAATTACAGCACAAACAGCATAAAGTACCACAAGTCATTTATGGTTGAAACAACCTGATGGAGCTCCTCTGTAGGACACATGTTTCAACTCAGTGTCGTTCGCATAGAAAGTGCATCAAACTTGAAAATACAATCTTCACATCAAGTGTTGCTCAGTGAGCAGCAGGAGAAACATTCAGATTAGGAAAAAAAGGCGTCATTTTAGTGTCTGAGGACCTGATGTGGAGCAACAGCAGATTTAAAGAAAATAGTCAGACTTTATTTCAGCCTGCTGTGTTTCCCGTTAGTGTGTCTGTTGTGGCTCTAAGTCAGTCACACATTGAATTAACTGGAGGATGAATATAGAAGGATGATTGGGCCAGACGGCACGTTTGGAGATCTCAGATGGAGTCAGCAAAATGTCTGTTTCACTTGCAAAAATAAATTTATTAGAAATGTATTTTTTATTTATTAGTGTGACATTTCAGAAGACCGAAACATCACACGGCTGCCTGAACTCCTCAAAGCGAAGATTCCCCTCGACTGAAATCTCACATCCTGTCAAACAGCCTCAGTCACGCACTGATCAGCCTGAGCACACACAGCGAGCCGTCACAGGTCACATGTGGTGTGTCGTCGAGGGCGACCAGCGCCCGTTGTCATGGCGCTTCAGCAGAGGATTCAGGTCCGTCTCCAACTCCCTCTGCTTCTGTAGCAAACCCTGAAAACACATGTACATGTTGGTTCACATGCAGACTTTCATTACATATGTTATCAGGCTTAAACAATCTCATCCAGTTAATCTGGTTCTTTATAAGCAGTTTGAAGACTGTTTTAAAGCATTTATAGGATTGGTCGGGTGCTGGTCATGTGATTACGCACAGGGACCATAGATTTGTTACTCAGCTTTAACCGTCTGAACCCTCAGCATTTTATTTGTTCCTGCTACATTTTTACTCACTGCAGGCTAATTTTCACTAAAATATAAAGTCCTGCACCTCTCTGGAAACAGCACAAGCTTGACTAGAGGTAGAGAAAACTTAAAGTGTCCTGTGTGCAGTTTAACAGTTACGTCATAAATCAGGAGGGAAAAAATGTGATTTTCTTCAATTATTGATTTTACAATAAAATTAAAAACTGAAATCAACAAGTACAACATTTTTCCACATGCCCACAGGTGTTACCAATACTGGAAGAAATGGAAACTCTACATACTAAAGATATTCAACTATTTCCGTTTCATTTCTCTTCATACTTGTCTCCTATCAGCTCTGTGGAAACACAGCCTGCAGTTCAGCCAAAATGTGACTGTTGGTTGCAGCTGAGTCAGTAAAGGTTTCACGGTTGCACATGGAGCACAACTTTTTTATTTTTTATTTCCAAACTCTTGCTAGAGCAAATGTTCTACTTTTCTAAATGTTTTAAATGAGACATGTAAAATAAAGTGATTGTGATTACGTGTCACAATATTAAGCTCAGATTCTGTTTTTTCCCCCTGATGGGACAGCACATCACAGACGAGTACCTGAAGGATCATCTGAATGTTGTGAATCTTAATCAGTTCTTTTACAGTTTTTTGCTCTGATAAATGGTGCAACAGCCTGCAGTTCAGCCCAGCTCAGCAGGTGAGTCACTAACTGGTTCATCGATGCACCAAGGACAGCAAAATGAATTATGTACAGAATTTCAAAGCCATTTATTTTTGGAAATTTTCCTAAATGGCACATGTAAAGATGTAAAGAACTACCACCACATTAAGCCTAAAGCTGGTTAACAGTCCAGATGGTACAGCATGTCACAGATGAGCAGTTCAAGGACTGTCACACATGTTGAAAATCTGATGGCTGATACGTTTTTACAGTTTTCGTCTCAGATAAACGGTCTTTTTATTATTTTATAGATAACTCTAAAACCCACCGGTGGGCTTTGGGGTTCAGACAGTTGGGCAAATAGATCTAATTAATGTCTCGGTAGCAGAATCAGACTCCAGCAGACAGCTTGTGTGTGGTTTACCTGTCGCAGCTGAGCCAGGCCTCTGAGGATCTCCTGCTGCCGGTGGGTGTGTGGGTGGAGCAGCAGGTCTCGCTGTGGAGGAGCAGGAGCAGCTCCTGACCAGGAGAAAGGACGTTTAGACACAATGTGCTTCATGGCAGGTTTTACCTCCATGTTCAGTTCAGCTGTTGTTGCTGTTTCTGTAAACACATCTGTTTACTGTCTGTCTGAGTCTTCTGTGGCAACTAACATTTTTTAAACATTGACAAATAGTTTAAAATTTAAAAAAAAACATTCAAATTAGAGCCCAAAGTGACATTTTAAAATAACCGAAACCTAACACAAACACAAAAAAGAGCAAATATTTATAACAATAAAAATCAAACCCCGGAATGTTTTAATGATTTTTTAGGTGAAATGATACAGAGCTGCTGAAAACCCATGATGAGGGGAGGACTATGAGTGATGATGAGACACGTGATGCATGTATTGCTCCTTATTTATTTTATCACATTTTATTTTCCTCACATCCTGCTGCTGCTGTGGCTGAACATACTAACATGCACACTTGGAAAAATGTTGCACAGGTTGAGTCCAGTTTTTTTCAATTTGATTAATTATCAAATAATTCCACCTTTTGCTGTTATCATGTATGGCATTATAACTATGTCATACTGCCCAAATTCATGAGTTTTCTCTACTCCTAGTCATGGCTGTGCTGTTTCCATAGAGGTACTGGACTTTATATTGCAGTGAAAAATGAGGCCACAGTAATAAAAATACAACGTGATGTTGTGACGGTGCAAACTTCAGTCTGACAGACACAGCTGAGGGCGCACTGACTCCACAGGCGATGCTGTGTCACAGCAAATACAGTTGTGACGACAGAAATGACTGTAACTCTGACTTCATGCAGCAGCAGTGTCAGCGTTGTATTAGAGCTGCTGTATTCCTGAACTCCTAAATGAACAAACATTTGTCAGAGAAGCCCCACAGGTTCAAACAGTAACAGCTGGACACATCCACAGCACCACAGATTGAACCACAGCAGCAGCCAAAGTCCAAACAGGAACCTTCTATCCATCCACAGTTTCACCATCACAGCAAGCAGCTGGAGACAGTCGCAGATCAGCTTTTGAAATGAATAATGAGCAATAAAGACATCAAAGTGTCTCAAACTTCAAAAATGTATACCTGAAAGAAAAAAAAGAATTTATAGCAGAGCTTTACAAATTTGCAACATCTCATGAACTGAACATATTTATTTTTCGAGAAAATGAACTAAGAAAGTTGGGTGAGTTGTTGTGAAATGACCCAAAAACACTCAGTAGAAGTCTGGTGATGGACCACAAAAACTTAAGAAAAAAACGGGAAAAAGGGAAAAAAGTTTGTTAAATTTAGAATCTTGTTTGTGTCTTACCTGTGTGTGCAGGAGGCGGGGGGGTGTCAGCAGGCTCCAGAGGGTCCATGTTGAAGACTTCATCAGTCCGGACGTAAGGAACGAACTCCAGGACAGGAGGAGGAGTGGAGGCCTGCCGACTCGGCACTCTGTGTCTGACTGTGGGGACGGGAGGAGAGCGCCCCCTGCAGGACGAGACAACATCAGACTGCTGGATGGACACAAGTTTTATCTGAAATAAACATGAGTTACTTCCTCATGACGTTCTAACGCTGTCTGCAGACATCTCCTCCTGGTTTGTGTCGTAGTTGTAGCACTGTTGTGTTTTTATTATCTTGCAGGCTCATGACGTCACCCTGAATCTTCCATCACAGACTTTTTACTGGCAATTAAATTCTAATTTATGAATCACTGAGGTGGTGAGAATGTTGTAATTACATAAATTATTGGTGAAGCAGGAAAGGTGTTCAG